TTACACCTTTAGCTTCATTTTCAATGTACCATTTAAACGCCAACTAGATGATAGATTAGTAAAATTATTCACCTTTTAGAAAGCGTGCGAGATCGTTTTTAATGTTAATATTTCAATATTTCTATCGTTAAAAATATTTTCCTCTATTTATTTTCTTTATCTTTTCTTCAATCCTATTTTTTCTTTTATTTATTTTACTCATTCATTTATTTTCTTCATCTAGGTGACTATTGAGCGTGACCGGCCCCTTTTTTTTGTTTAACTCGTTATATGCTAAAAAGAATGTTTTTTCATTTTTAATTTATATAATTCATTTTGTCTTTATGAAATTTGAAATATCAATTTTATTCATAATAATATAAACTCGATGTTTATATTAACTTGTGTCACTAACCAATCTCAGCAAACAAATTTTGTAAACATTTGAATATAGCTAATCAATATATATATATATATATATATATATTCTTATATTGCTTAAAGATGATAAATTGATACCATTAATGTAAATGCCAAGTAAATTTGGATGACTTGAAGAAAAGATGATAAATTGATACAATAAATGTTAATGCAAAGTAAACTTGAAAAAAAAAACATGCGGCGTTATTTAATTGTATGTTTTTTTTACCCTTTTAATGTTTATCTAACACACGTTGAATACTTATACTGGGTAAAACTTTTTGTGTTTAATTAAAATAGTACATAAAAAATTGAAGTAGATGGTTAAAATTGAATTAAACTAAGTTGAAGTGTCAAAATAAAAATTTTGAGACAAATTAAAAGAGTTGTTTATGCGTTTTGCCTATTCATCTTTAGTATGTCCCAAAAAAAACCACACTTTCTTTTCAAAAACAATTAGGCCAGATATCTAAGACTAATTTTTTTTTAATTACTAATATATATAAAAAAGTGGATTCTAAATTTCTTTTTTATAAACAAAAAGGGCTAGTCCTTATCTTATCGTACGAAGTAAAGAAAATTGTACCTTATTTGCACATTTATGAAGTAGAGTAGGAAGATCTGAGTGAAGTCTTATTCCACCAAAGCTTAAACCTTTCAATGTTCTACCACATAATAAGGGAATCAAGTTGATGTCCCTACTAAGCCCATTTCCTACACCAATTAGAACAATTGTCCCAATTCCCTAGAAACAATATAATATAATGTTAATTAGTTTTTATATATATTTGTTTTATCATGATATTTCTTTTAGAAGAGTGCACTTAAAGACGGCCTTTATCAACAAAATATAGAAAAACTTACTAATTTTGAGGCTTCAATGGCTTCATTAAGCATGGATGGTATCCCAGTACATTCGAAAACATAATTAACACCTAAACCTTCAGTAACATCTTTTATCGTCTCGGAAACTGATGTCCTGAATTCTTTAGGGTTAATGAAGTCCGTCATTCCAAAAGCTTCTCCTTTTCCCCGTTTCAATTCATTTATATCAACACCAATAGTTTTCGATGCTCCTTGACTTCGAGCTCCCTCAACCACCTGCAACATTTTTTATACATCATGAATTTATTTAAACATCGAGCTAAGTTAAAATGTAGTACTCACTCCAAGTCCAACAACACCAAGACCTAGTACAGCAACAGTTGAGCCCTTTTCAACATGAACTTCTCTCCATGTTTCTCCATAGCCTGTTGTAAATCCACAACAAAGCAAGCTAGTATGTTGAAGCGGAATCTTCTGAGGATCAACTTTGATTACGTAGTTGGCGTTAATAACTGTATATTCCGACCAAGTAGAGCAATTAAAACTATGATTTAATATTTGTCCTCCATGAATGAACATTCTTGATGTGCCATCCAACATTAGACCAGAAAGGTTCAATGGATATTTGTGACATAGATTGGACCTTCCTGACTTGCAATTTGGGCATTCTTTGCATTCTCCTAAGTAAAGTGGAATCACTATATCTCCTTCTTTTATATTTGTCACATTTTTTCCCACACTTTCTATCATGCTGCAAATTCAAATAAGTCGCGATTGGCTAAATAAATCCATGCAAATCAATTTACAATAATATATATGCATGTGAAAAAGGGGAGCCTTGTCACAATTGTAAATGAAAGTTGTTGTCATATGATCAGAAGTTCAGGGGTTTGAGCTGTGGAAACAAACTCTTACAGAAATTTAGATTGAAAGAAAATTTTCCTACTCAAGTCCTTCATGTCCAAGAACTCGAGGAAATGTAGGCTGGAGAGGATAGAAGAAAACAAGTTCAATAAAATGATGGATCCAAATTAGTTAGGAAAGATGAGTAGAGTGAAATGTAAATTGAGTAACATACAATGGGGAAACCATTGAAAGCGATAATGTCAGAGTGGCACAAACTAGCAAAGAGCATCTTAATTCGAACTTCATTTGATTTAGGTGGATCAACTTGTATCTCTTCGATCTTTAACATCTCCCCTTCCTTCCATACTACTGCAGCTGCACGCACGCATAATACATATATTTTCTCATAATATTAAAATGAAAGAAAAAACATTAATTGATTACACACCTTTGCATGTGATGACCTTACGGTTGCTTGATTCCATGGTAAGTTTACTTGGACTCGTAAACGATGAGAGTAGCTTAAGTTTGATTGAGCACAAAAGAAATAAAGAGAGACTTTTAGAACATATCAAATGTCTGACTCTTTACTATCAAATACTCCAAGAAGATCCACCAAATCCTACTTATATGGAGATCAAATAAATTCCAAGAAAGTTTAGATCATCCTATACGTCCTAAAAACACGCTACTAACAATCCTTGAATCACGGATCGGAGAAAATTCAGAGAGAAGAATCAAGAGGAACATAATTGTACTCATACTGTTTATTACTAAAATATTCTTATTTCTTTTATTTTGTTTGTGGTTGGAGCTTATGTTCCATATATTAAAATTTGTTGCAAAGAAACATGTTATGTGAAAAATTAAAATTAAAGTGTTATTAAAAAAAATCATTCTTTTTTTAAACAGATTAAAAGAGAAAATAAACCAATCAAATTGGAAAGGAAAAAAAAAAGAAAATGGGATGAGGCACTTATACTTTAGAATATACTTAGATTTTACCGCTTCCTTAGGGAGGTAGAGAGACCGACCCTCACTCCAGTATCACGATAAAGAAATAAACATAGATCTAACTCAACCTTAGAAGCTAGTTGATAAGGGAAAGATCATCCTCAACCGTATAAAGAGTCTAAATTCGCCTCATTCCACGACAAGAGATCCTCCAAATTCTTGAATATATATACTCAAAAGCAAGAACCACAAATTCATCAATTTCTCCCACAGCAAGCAATAATTTGAGGGGAAAAAACCCAAAAAGATTGATGACTATTAGGAAAACTCAAAGAGTTTGGTCAAACATACTACCTCCGTCGATTTTTATTTATGTTGCGCTTTTCGAAAGTCAATTTGACCAATTTTCAAAGTTAAATTATATTACATTAATTCGATATTTTAAACAAAAAATTTAGATATTTAAAAAACCTATACAAAAAGTACTATAAATTGCAATTTTTCGTATATCAATATAATGAAAAAAATACATCGTAAAATGTTAGTCAAAATTCTTACAGTTTGACTCTAAAAAAGGAAATCATGTCAATTAAAAGTGGACGGATGAATTATATATTACAGCGAACTTTGATTAATATTTCTACATATAAGGGACTTTTCTTCAAGTTGGAGGAGTGAGAGAGAAATTGTTTCAACGGAAATTAATTACAATTAAATACTCCATCCATTACATTTGGTGGTAAATCACATTCCAACGAATGACAAAATGGGACCCCATAGAGGTGAGGGAGTCGATTGAACATCTCAACCACAATTAGTGGAAATTATGCTCGCATCTGATCCACAATTTTTGTTCACCTTAAATAATTGCGTTAGGAGAGTTATGACCTCGTACGATGGTGTTGAATGAGCAACATCCACTAAAGTACATTCCTCCTCCTACAATCATATACAGATTCATGTTTTTGTTTTATGGATTCAACCTTAGAGAATTCTAGTATTGAACCTACTATATACATTCTTATAATTATAAGTTCATACCTATTATCTATTGTAATTTTAAATATTCTTTTACACATATAATGATAATGTGCGTCAATATACAGGATTTAAGTGAACATGTTACCTTTGAACTGCATCCACCCCTGCCTAAGACATAATATCAAGGTTTAAGTTTTTTTTTTCCATGTAACCATTTGTTATCTAAATATATATTGATTCAATTAAATTTAAATTTGTATTGTAAATCTTTTACTACGATAATGTTTTTAAAAACTATCTTTCATTTATATCTTTTACATCAAGCTCCCACATTGCATATCTTTTTTTTGTTTCCATTCGTTATATATGATATTTATATCAGAGCTCGATTACTTTGGATTTGCACAGTGTAGGATCCCATATGGGGGAAAATACCAAGGATGTTTTCTTGCTTAGTCTAGAATCAAGATAAAAATCATCCCTTTATCTTTATCATGCATAAATTCATGGAGGAAGCCTGTAAAATATCATGTAATAGAAAAGATCATATGAATCGAACACTTTTGTGGAGAGTTCTTGTTTAAGGAAGAACCAATATCACCATTACACCATATTTTTTGGTGGTCCCACATTGTATATCATTTGCATTTAGTTGAATAAACGAAGAGACGGTAAAGGGCCGGAGAGAAGAAGAAGGAAATAGTGGTATCATTTAATACTAATTTTTAGGAGTGACAATTTCAGCCATATTAATGAAATGAGTTCATTTTACTCATATTTAATGACTTGGATCACTCATATTTTAATTGAGTAAATATGGGCTTCAAGCTATTTTAAGAACTCCTACAAATATGGTCAAAATGGGTAAAATATGAATATCCATATAGACCCATAATAGATCACTCACTTCTCACTTCTACTCAAAATTCTAAATTGTGCTAAAAAATAAAAATTCTACTAATAAATTTTCAAAAATATTAATTTATTTTTCAAAAAAATTGGAGGATAGGTGGGGCTGAGAAGGGGGGCAAAGGTGGAATTTTTATTTTTTTTGAGAAACATAATTTTTTTTTTGAAAGACAAAAAAAAATTAAAAAAAATTAGGGGTAGGTTGTGTGGAGGGTGGGGGGTGCCTGGGGGACTGGGGTGGCGGAGGCGTAATATATTTTTTTTTTTGGAAAAACATAATATTTTTTTGAAAAACAAAAAAAATTAGGGGTAGGTAGGGGTGTGCATTCGATTTTTCGGTTTTTGATTTTGTAAAAGTGTAACCCAATCCGATCCAAAATAAATTTGGTTTGGTTTGGTTTTCCTCTATTCGGTTTGGTTATTCGGTTATGTCAATAATTAATAACATAACCAAAGTAATAATATTGAATCTCTTAAATATACTTTCTAATATAAATCATAAGTAAAACATAAAACGCAATACTTGTAAGTATACCTATTATAGATGTTCAAACATAAAATATAAATGTAATCATCATCAAACGCAATAACCAAAAAAGGACAAAAGTGGTTAACTCTAACTTAATTCTAAACATAAGCATTATATATATATATATATATAAAATCAATTTTTCGGTTTTTATTTTTTAAAATTCGAAACCAAACTTAAAAATCAAATAAAGTAATTTATTAATCCAAAACCAATCCGAAAGGGGTTGAGGTATTAACAACTTAACATTGATTTAAATTTTTTGGCTTTAAGAGATTAAAGTGGGTTATAACCATTTTACCCAAACCAGATTTGACCAAATCCATTTTTACCCATATTTTTTTTGAGGAACTTTCATATATATAGCCACTCAAAAATAGCCTAATTACTCTCCATAGCTATAGTTTGATAATTACAATTCGTAGCTACATGTTATAGGGAGGACAGAGGAGAGCGAGACTGGGAGAGAAAGGAGAGAGGCGAGAGAGAGGGCAAAGAGTGGGAGAGAGGTGAATTGTATATGTATATCAGTTAGATAATTGTATATTATACATATGTATTTGTATATATGGCAAGCGAGATTGGGAGAGCTTGCTTATAGCAAACTATAACTATGATGAGTAATTAAGTAGTATAAGTTTGCTTAACCGCGTAATTTTCCCTATTTTATATAGGTGGATTGTGATCCAATCCATTTTAACTCAATCCATATTCAATCCATCCAAATCCGATCCAAACAACCCATTTGCCACCCCTACTAATATTACATGAAAATAAAGAATGGTATTAAAGTAAATAATGTATGGACTATATGGACGTTTAAATAGCTCCATTAACAACTTTCAAGTGAATTAAATATCATCCTTAGAGGTGATGTGACAATGTGAGTGCACTCACCCTCCTAAAAGTGTGATTTTTTTTTTATAAAAAAACTAAATTTATAAAATGATACACATGTCTTTTTTATAGGCCAATATTGTAACACCCCTAAATACTAACCAAGAGTCGCATGTCGATACACCATTGCTTAATTACTACAGTCTGTTTTACTCTCATTTTGGGAACTTGAAATTTTGTGATATTTGCAAATTTGCTTAACATAAATTGTGATCGTAATTTAAGGGATTGTATTGGGGTATTTACGTAATATTCTAATTAGAATTTTGTATAACTAGAAAGGGAGGTGAAGGATATACATATATATATGTATGCATTTTGGGCTGCCAACTTTTTGTTTGGGCAGGCTAGGGATTCGCTTGGGCCAGCAATGGTTCTCGAGTGCCAGTCCCGCCCAGGGTGTAGGCTCGAGGAGTGGCAAAAGTCACCATTACCCACACAAGCCCTCTTGGACTCCCTTGTCCTCTCTTTGTAGTTCTCTTCTTCAATTTTTTTTACATGTATCATCAGACTGGACGTATCCATATCCTTGATCAAAATGGTGGTTCGTCATTCCTTGACAACCAAAAAGAAAACACCCGACACAAATTTACTCATTCTTGCTCTAAAATCAACAACTATAGTTGGGGCATACTTAGCAAATATTAATGAACTCAAACAAATTTGCCTCCCTCGTCAAAAGATAAAAGAAACAATCAAGAAAAGCTCCATTGAATTTCTCCCAATCAAGAGGATCCGCATCAACAACCTTCTCACTTTTTCATTGTTCAAACCAAACTTGAGCAACATCCTTTCGTTGATAAGCGACCAGTTTCTCCTTCTCTACGGTAGACAATCCCATAATTCCCACTATCTTACACACCTCATCAATGAATTCTTGAAGATCCTCATCAATTTTTGACCCATGAAACTCCGGGGGATTCATTCTAGTAAAGTCCTTTATCCTTGTTATCTTCGTACCTACATTTAGGTTCACGGGATCCATGACTTCTTTATTAGCTTGGGTTATCATATCTTGAGCCAAAATTTAGTAAGAGGCTCAAAATTCGACATGAGGCACTTGCTCGGCCAAAAGGTCGATCAGAGCCTGGGAACCTCGGGCTCCACATTGTCGCTCACATTCCTTTAACATAACCTCTTCGAGGGGCCATCTTGAAAAACATCAGATAAAATTTAGGAGAATGATCTTTATAGAGATAGACTTTATGACACGACTGAAAGAAGTGAAGTTTCCAAAACATTTTGTAGCCTTCTATTCATAAACTTGATGAGCTTCACTACCAAACGCGACTTGTCAAACATCTAAGAACCTTTTCTAAAACC